GCAACTATACGCATTTTTTAGGATGCCTGTTCTGCCACCTGCTGGTTCAAAAACGTAACGTGCACATCCACACCGGAAGTAATGTGACACACACACACAGAGGTAACTAGTGTTACCTCTTTTGGATAAAGTAACTCCCGTGAGTCTGTTGTTCTAGCAATCCAGCAGTTTCTGATTATTGATTATAGGAAAGGCTGCACCAGTCCTTACTTTAAATATGAATGGTTTTATTATTATTATTATTATTATTATTAAAGCACTCTCAATGTTTGTAGTCACATCCTTACTATCACAGCTTTTTAATATTTTTTTTCTGAAGCTGGTGAAAATCAGCCCCAAACTCAAATTCTGCCAACGGCCCTGAACAAAACTGGGTCGAATTTGCAAATTATTTTCCTGATGTGACACAAGATTTTCATTATTGCTGTTTCTTTTCTTAATTTCCTCTCATTTAAAACATAATTTATAATGCATAAATTTGAGCGGCAAAGTGATTTAATGCCTAATGTCTGCAGGCATGTGAAGTCAATTATTACCTTGTAATGCGACCCAATCCCATAGGAGAGAGCCCATAAAGGATTCTAGAAGGGAACTGCAGTCATCTCTTTTATCAAATGTTTATAGTTGCATTAGTCTCAGGCATTAGTGCTCAGTTAGAAAGCTTTTTTGTTTTCCAGATTTTGGCTCAGCACTGTGTCCTGGATGCCTGTGTCACTCTTTCTCAGCCCCTCTCTGTGGTCTGAGAGGATAATTTTAGTCCTGACGCTGGCTTGTTAAAATGAGTCCTCTGATGCTGTTGGAGGGCCGGCGATATTAGTGAGATAAGGACTGAGAACAAATACAAATTAATATATAAAAAGCAGACACTTCTCAAGAGCACGGAAGGATAACAAACTTGTTTCAACCAAACTACAAGAAAAAGAAAGGAGGACATGTTGGCACTCACGTGACTTTCCCACAGGTACGTGACAGATGATTGTTACAGAGTGAGAATGTGATTAGAAATAAGAGTTTTGGATTACCAAACTTTTTATCTACTGATGTCGATGTAGACTCTGTCACCCAAGTCAAAATAAAGCTGGATGTCTAAGCAAAGGGTAACTTAGTGTTTCGAGTTCATGAAGGCATTTCACCTTTTATTTTTCAGGTCCAGCAGGCTGATGTGGAGATAAGGCACTGATATTTCTCAAACAACTAAACCCAGATAAAGTTTCCTCTTCTTTTAGTTTTTGGGATTTGGGCAACCATATTAAAAAATTAGCAACAAAGAAATTAAATCTTTATCAATTACAGGATAAAAGAAAAATATTAAGTACTTTACACTACATTTGAACACAGAAACAAGATATTTCTGAGCATAGATGAAAAAACATTTCTCTTTAGTCTGAGAAAAATGTTTACTATTTTGTAATTTCTCTTCAAATTATGGCTTTACGTAAAGGCGCAAGTGTCAGGAAAAATGTAGCCAGAAGAGCTTAGCTATATTTTCGGTTAGCAAAATTCACTATAATTGATAAATATCACAGTATATGAGGAACAGCTTTTGTGATTTACTAAAATTATTTATCGAGTTCTGAGTTTTACATCAAGAGAACCTGGTATCTTAACAGCCGACTCCATACTTTTGAGAGCCATTGTAGAAGTTTAAAACCTGCTTCTTCAGATGATTGAAGGCTGAACAAAACACATCTGTTTCCATAAACAGCTTTTTGAACTTTCCTCCACTTTACATCAAACATCTTTACACCACTTGAAGCCAAAAGCCCCCTGACCTCATCAACATACACGCAGGTTGAAGCTCTCCTCCCACACGTCGGCATCCTGACTGGGTCGTCGGTTGGACTTTTGACGTCATCACCAGCTGCTACTCTGTCCAAAGGTCCTGGTCTGGCAGCACTTATGTTAAATATCCCATGTTAATGCGCCTCAGGTCCTGTTTCGGGGAAAACCTCCTTGGTGAAGGGGTAGGCTTCACATTCCTTTTGTGGCTCTGGCCTTTCATTCTTTCTTCTTTCCCCACTTCCCTGCTTTCCTTTCTTCCAAGACATTTTTCAAAATGCAGAATGTCTTGGCTCTGACGAAGCAATACCTGAATACCTGATTCTTTCTTTTACAAGTCGTAATAAAGAACCAGAGTTGTTGGAGTAACACTGCCAGACTGGATCAACAACCATGTTTTTTGTTCTTACAGGACAAAGTTCTTGATAGCTGCTGCTCTGGGATTTTTGTTCTCCAGGATAAATAAAAAGAAAGTGAGCCCCAACTATTTGTATTTGGCGTACGCATTTGCACTGGATAAATTCTTGAGGAAAAGATATGGTAAGACAAGAAACCGTGGCCTTTAAACAGGATAAAGAATGTAGGGTGTTTTAGCAACATCCATGCAAAACTCTGGATTAGTAAGCCATCTGGTCTGTTTAAGCTATTTATTCTTTATTATTTTATTACTTTGAATTTTGTTAAAATGTATTCGTAGTTTAATTTATATATTTTGAATTATTTACTGTTTATTTTTACATTGCTTTTTTTAAAATTATATTTGCTTTTTAAGTTAGTCAGGAAGAACTGTGGGTGCATTTCTAGAAGCATCAGTACTGGTTTGGGGCCTATTTTGTTTTCCTAGAGCAGGAGAGGCAGCAGGAAACAATGAGAAGTTTGGTCTTTATTATTTGCTCGCCAAATGGAAAAATAAACCTTAAAATGCAACCTTGGCTTGAAGTGGCTCGGACCACTTTCAAGTCTTGGACATTGGACTTCTTTTGCCTGCATACAAAATATCACCTCAGTGCAGTAGTGGCTTATGCATTGAACTTTTATAGGATATTTGGTTTGACAAACAATCACCACTACCTGGTCTGTTATTTATTAATGGCAGAATTTGTAACTTTTCCAGCGAGGAATAATGGTTTTTTATGTCATACCATTTCACAATTGCTTGCTTGTGATTCAAATCCCAGATCAAGAAGCCTAACAAATAAATAATAAATTAATTAAAATTAACATTTAATTTATGTATTTAAAAGTATTTACTTATACACATGCGACAGACTGGTGACCTGTCCAGGGTGAATCCCGCCTCTCGCCCGGAATGCAGCTGGAGATAGGCACCAGCACCTCCCGACCCCGTTAGGGAGAAGGGTGCTCAGAAAATGGATGGATGGATGGATTTACTTATACACACACATACATATATGGACCACTTGCTGCTCCTCCAAAGTACAGGGGATGAAGAGGATCCTTGTCCATCCCATTGGTCTTCTTCAAGTTGATGCACATGTAATTGTCTCTGCATCACTGTACCAGATGTTCCACCTCTTATTTGGACTCATTGTTCGTGATGTGCCCCACTACTGCTGTGTCGTCAGCAAACTTCACTATATGAGAACTCGGGAGTCTTGTCAAGCAGTAGCATGTCAGCAGATTGAAGAGAAGGGGGCGCAGGATGCAGCCCTGCAGCGAGCTAGTGCTGAGAGTGATAGGGGAATAGACGGTGTTGTGGCCAGAAGACAGTCTGAGGTCTGTTGGTCATGGAAGTTCAGTGTCCTGTTCCCCAGTGTGGGACTCAGTCCAAGAGAGAAGAGCTTCTGCACCAGGGTCTGTGAGATGAAGGTGTTGAAGGCTGAGGAGAAATCCAGAAGGAGCAGGAGAATGGCAGAATTTCTGCTCTCCAGGTGGGTGACAGTTGTGTGGACCACTGATGAGATGGCGTCAACAGTGTAGTGGTTCTTCCTGTAGGCGTACTGATGAGGGTCTAAAGTGACATCGATGAAGTTCTGATGGGGTCATTGACTAACCTCTCGAAGCACTTCATGACTACAGTTGTTTGGGCTATAGTTTGGTAGTCATTCAGGCCTGTGATGCGCTGCGAGACAGGGACAATAGTGGTGGTCTTTAAACGGGAGAGGACCGGTGCCAGTGACAGGGATGTGTTGAAGATGTCTGTCAACACCTCAGACAGCTGATGTGCACAGTACCTCAGTTCCCTTTATGGGGGTTGATTCCCTGAAGGGTCTTCCTCACATCTGCTGTGGTCACACAGAAGGACTTCTCACCAGATGGTAGTAGAAGTTTGTTGCTGGGGGCTTTAGGATTCTCAAAGCTGGTGTAGAACTCACTGAGTGCATCTTGGCAGTGAGCAGTCCCTGGGGTATTGTGCATTCCTGATGTTGTAGTCTGTGTTGCACTTGATGCCCTTCCACATGTCTTGGTGGTGAAGTGACCTTGAATTCGTTTCTTGGAGTGCCGATGTAGCATCCCTAGCTTTCAGCAGAGGCCTCACGTCAACATTCAGCCAGGGTTTCTGGTTTGGAGGACAGACTACTGCCCTGGTGGTGTGACATCATCAGCGCACTTAGAGATAAAACACAGAACAGAGGAGATGTGTTCCTCCATGTTCACCCTCTCCCCCTTAAGAAGATCTATCAATGTGTAGTAAAAACACTCCCTAATCCGTTTCGTGAGCGGAAGGCATGCTGGCGCCAGCAGGGCTGAGATGTGGTCAGAGGCCAAGATGGCGGCGAAGAAGAGCTCTGTACTCACCGTTAATGTTAGTACAGTCCACAGCGTGTCTCTCGGCGTGGGAACGGTGTCATGCTAGTAGAGACTGAGCAGAGTGTCCGCCAATTTCACGTGATTAAAATTCACCGCAACCACGTAAAACGCCTGGGTTTGTTGATGCTTCATTAGCATTAGCACCCTGCGGGATGTGAACGATGATAGCAGCACCGCGGTGAACTCCCGTGGCAGAAAATATGGCCGACATTTCACGGTCATAAGTTTTATCGCCTCTCAGGCCAGTAGCTATTTACCGTTCCTGAGTTCGTACTCCGACTTTCATTCACGTACCTCTGTACGTGAATGTCGCGTCCGCTAGGCTAACTGGAGACCGTTAGAGGGGTGATGATACTTTGCATCATTTATTAGTTTGTTGACATTTAGATCCTCCGGTTGTGGGGGGAGGAAGAGGGAGTTAGCGGTTGCCAACGTCGCCCAAATCAGAAACCGCCACTTTTCGCCATAGCAACAAGTGTTTATTCTTGTTTGGTTTTGTTTGGCATTGGAAAATTATTCTCAAATTTATGTTTGGTTTGAGAACGGGCTTAGCCTCGCCTGAGTCTAGTTTGGATCCTCATACTTAGAACAACAAAAGTAGGGGGGAAAAAGAGCAGAAGAGGTTCAGGTTTTCGGCAGGAGAGAAAGGAGAGCATTTCCAAAACTCAGCAGATTAAGCAGCAGACATGGCGGGGTGCTGCTCATTCCTCTCTTCATGTTTCCGGCGTAATCCTCCAGGTGCCGAGCAGAGCGGTGGTGAGATTGGTCGGCCTGTGTCTTTACAACAGAACCAGGACCTTGGCACGGTTCCGGAGAGACGCACAAGAGTCAAGCTCTACTGTCAGACTGGAGGATATCACCTGAAGATAGCTCAAGACGGAACAGTGTCTGGCGTGAGGGAGGAAGATGACACATACAGTGAGGAAAATGCATTTATCGGTTTATTCTTTGTCATTTAAGCTGCGTTTCAGAGTTAGTTATCAGATAACTTTGTTCTGAACAAAGCCAATATTTATTGCTTTGTCTTAAATCTTTATATTTTCTGAATTATGTTGTTTGTAAATTGGAAGCATTGGTGGACAAATCAAAAGTGAGTGAGCTTGAAAAAAGAGAGAACCTTTAATTAATGGAGTGTGCGTAAGACTGACACGACACTGTAATAAACATGACATAACAGGATCAATGGGATGAAGAAAGTTAAGACTAACAGGTGACAGTAATTTAATATTAATACATAGAGCTACATCATTTTCTTAAAGCTTGATAATTTGCATATTTATGATAGATTATGATTTACTGGCTAATATCAAGTTGTCACAACAAAGCCATTTTGTGCCTTGATTAATGTTAAGTTGCCATGACTACAACGGTTTTTGTCTTGGTTCATGTCGAGTTGTCATAACAAAGACATTTTTTGTCTGGATTAATGTAGTTGTGATGACAAAAACGGTTTTGCCTTGGTTAATGGCAAGTTGTCATAACAAAGACGTTTTAAACAATGTCAGGGTCTGCATCCTTCGAAGGACGGATTTGTAGGTCGCTTACATCATAGCCTCTCCTTCACATGCGGCCTCAGCCCAGATTTGTCTCCTTCACGGCCCACCATATCCCATAATTCATTGCGGGTCCCATCGTTCAGGCGAAGAGTAGGAAATTATTTTTGTTTCATTACACTTTAAATGACAACGTGATTTTGTACAACGTTTTCAGGCGAGAATGTTAGTGTGTCAGTCTCGGTTCACCCAAACATTATCGGACATGTCAGCTCCCCTCGCCGGCCGCCAGGGGGCGCTGCAGGTTCGGTCCAGTTAAACACCGATATTATTCAGGCAGGTAACATCGAGTTGTAAATTGTTTGTTCTACTAAAGTATTTAAATCGGTTTGATTGATTAAAGTGAAGCCTTAAAACATATTAGTTTTATTTAACTGTAATAATTTATCCGAGATTTGGAGAGTATTATATTGTATTTGAAAATGAATAATTTGCTTATAGGCTATTTATTCCTGGTAGAAATGTGCAATACACGTTTGAACATTTTAGATTCAAACTAACTGATTTCTTCTTCTTTTTTTTACTATGGAACAACATTTACTGCAAAAGATGAAGAATAATACAGAAATCAGGAGTAATGCATAACTAAAAAACAAACTTCAGCTCAGTTGTTTGTTTTTCTTTTTGTGACAGCATGAAGCTCACAGGCTTCATGCTGTCACCGTTGCTAGGCAACATGAATTACGGTGAGGTGGAGGCGGGGACAGTTGGTGAAGACTCAACCTGTCCACTTCCGGTCTTAGTTTCTTCACGGCCTTGGAAGGATGCAGATCTTGAATTCGGACACAACTTAGGTCTCTGAAAGATTTGGCTAGCCACCTGCAAGTTCCTGAAAGTAGCCTTAATATTCTTGGAAATTAAATTCTAAATTCAAATAAAGTTACCTGTAAATTTAGGAAAATAATTCTGAAAGTCTCATTAAGTTATTCATTGTAGAAGGATAAATCATTACTCCATTAAGGTAACTTGAAGGCTCCAGCAAAGTGCATCATTTAGTAAAGTAAAATGGAAGTTTAGTGAAAGTAATGTAAGTTATCTGAAAGATGTGGAAAGAAAAGTAACATAAATTACACTAAAATAATTTACAAATTCAACTAATGCAACCAATAGGTTTTAAAAAGCAACCTGTAAGTTCCAGAGAACAGCCTGTAAGTTTAGTGATAAAATAGCCTTTAAGTGTTGTGATCGTAATCTAATCTTAAGAAATTGTAAATTATAACAAAGTAACATTTCACTGTCAGAAAGACTCTACAAGTAAATTCTACTTTTCAGAGAAGTAACCTGTGAATTCCCCAAAAGTATTTTATAAGAACCATGACTGTTTCAGTAAAGTAGCATTTTAGTTCAATAAAATCCTCCTTTAACTTCCAAGGAAGCAACCTGTAAAAGTAAGCTTCAGGTTTCAGGACAAAAACTTAGAAACTATAAAAAAGCATATTGAATGCGTTGTGAAACTAGCATGTAAGCTTCAAGAAAGTAACAAGTTTTCCACAACAGTAACTTTTACAAGTTCTATAAAAGTTATAAAAAATGACTTATAAACTATGGAACATAACATTTCTAAGTAATCTGTAGTATGTGTGGCCACTGGGGAGCTTAATCTCTTGTGCAAGCTTTTTAGAATACATTTCTGGTAAAAGCTGCTTAGTAATTTGGGATTTTTATCACAACTCCTCACCCTTTGAACACATTTGTCTGGGGGAGCATTCCATGAGGGCAAAAGCAGCATTTTTGGAAGACATTTGTTACATTATGTTCTAAAATTTAGCCTTGGAAAGGAAACAAAAAGTCACACAGAAATGTGATGTTGATTATGTTACAGTAATCATGAAGCTGCAGGCGGTGGGTGTTGGAGTTATTCTCATCCAAGGGGAATCATCGGAAAAGTACCTGTCCATGAACGATAAAGGAGACCTCTGCGGAAGAGTGAGTTTTGGCTTTTCTAGTGTACGCTTATCAGAATCCATTTAATCTAAGTAATTATCTACACGTTTTTAAAACTGTACTTAAAATGAAAATGATTTTTATCTAATATACATAACAAAATAAATTGCCGTATTTTATTAATCCGTACAATCATTGAGATGAATTTACTTTGAACCCTTGAATCAAATGGTCTGACTGCTGCTGTTTGCACATACTTTTTTCCCAGGAAACCGTGAATGATGAGTGTAACTTCTTGGAACATATTGAACCAAACGGCTACACAACACTTCGCTCCCAGAAATACACCTGGTTTGTTGCTCTGAAGGCAAATGGTACTCCTATGAAGGGAACAGAAACCCACCAGGGTATGAAGAACGTTTTATTCCTGCCGAGACCAGCCTAAGCTCAAATAAAAACCTGGAAAAACGCAGAAAGGATTTTAGTTCACATAATTTTTATGAATGATATGCTGGACAAATCATTATAAAGGTGACTTTGAAAGAGTTCAAAGGAACAACCCTAAAGTTTTTTTTTCCCACTACAGCTGATTGAAAATATATTTATTAGACTTGGACTTATTTTATTGTCATTGCACAAAAACATAACAGTGTTGGCAACAAAATGTCATTGCTTGGCTACTAGAGCACACAGAAATAATGTAGCTTATATGCATACTTATAAGCTAATAAAAAATAGTCCCTAGTACAAAGCCTCCCTTCTCACTAAAAGGCTCCAGTGCATGTCGCTGCTGCAGAATGAGCATTCACTGTGAGCCATAGTTTGGTGCTGAGAGAAAGAAATGTACATCTTGCTCACAAAATAACTTTAAAGTTGGTTGTGTCTGGAACAAACAGTATAAACTGAACACTGGTTTTAAGACGTGCAGTTCAGGGGATGATTGTTTTGTAATTAATCTAAATTGGGGTGAAGTTGCGGTTCTAATTGTTTAATAAATCATCTATTCCTGGAACCACTTTTATATGTGCTACAGAGCCACTCATGGCAACAACAAACCATATATGTTGCTGTACTGAATGGAAGCTATTTGAATCTGGTCAGAAGAAGACAGATGAAGAAGTTTCTCTGAAAACCTGTTTGGATTTCACAATAGGTTGTAACTTTGTACTGGCTTGATGGTAAGTGTAATTCTATGTGTTTTTTTACCAGTAATCAAATGTTATTTTACCCTCAACATTGTGACAAATATTTTCAGTACATAATGTGATTTAATGTATTTTTTAAAATTGTAAAAGTATCATCTGGATGGAATGGCTTATGATTCCAGTCAAGTTTCTTCTCAGGCAGAACTGTGAAAATGAATAACAGCTGGGTTGTTTTGATGACTCTTTTGAAAGGTGATTAAAGCTCTTTATAACTGTTTATCGCTCTGGCAGCAAAATCTCTGCTCCACTTCTTGAACTTTTGTTGTTCAACATTAAACACAGTTAAAAAGAAAAATAAATCAACTATCTTGTGTCATGTGGTTCTTCGCTAAAAACATGTTTTTCCAGCCATCTTGTATTATGTAGTGTTTGAAGGGCATAGATAATAATTTTTGCACCCTTTCTTTTTGCTGGTCTCAGGCTTATAGCATACTGCAGTCATATTCATTTCCAGGGACTGAAATTAAGAAATATATTGAAAAAATAAAATGTGGGGAAAAAAAAGAAAACATGAGTACAAGGCAGCTAAAAGTGATGTTATGCTTTGAACGCCAAACTCAGGCATGAATGTATAAGATGATCCCTATCGCATGTATGTGATAATTTACATACATGCAATATGCAAGTAGGAAAAGTCACAAGGTAAGCCAAAATCAGAAGTACTAAAATTCTGACAGAATTCTAATCAATTATTCTGATTAAGTTCAGACCAGTGATAATCTGATTTGCCCAGGCATTTATCAGCATGCTATTTTCAGTAACTGTCATCATAATAGCCTGTAGATAGGGAACTCTGGTTGTTAGTCTCACTTTTTTTCCATATCACTCTGCTATAAGAACAAAACACAAATCAGAAGACATAGTTCGTTGTGCAATTCAAACTCTATAAGTCAATAATAAGCAGTTGTAGAACAAGCAACTTCAAGCTAATTTTAATCCTGTGGTGGATGGAAAGGTAGTTTCTGTTGTCAACACTCTCTCCTTAATTGAATGCAGTTAAAAAGTTAGCATTATCTGTTTACTGTCTTTAAACATGGAGGAGAGCAGATGTTTTAGTTCAACCTGACTGGATTAATCGATGATTATAGCATACATTAAAAACAAGAAGCTGCTGAAAAAGAAAGCACTTTTAACATGGGAAAATGTATTCTCACAAGCAACAATCAGGTGTTTGACTTATAGCTTTAAATTCATCCTTCCCTTAAATCTAAAAGTCAGCTTGTGTAAGAATCCTGGGGCAAAAGTGTTTCCACCAGAATGTTTTCAGTCAGCAATATGTCTTCCTAATGTGAACATTTCCATACAGTTCACCCAAAATTCTCACATAGAAGATCTTTGCAACCAAAGCAGTCGCTGTGTTCTATTCTGTGTTTCTGTGATATGCAAAATAAAATTGTTTTTATTTAAAAAAACACTCCATGTTCAATGTACAACCATGGTAATACAGACAAAATAGATTAAAATGTTAGCTAGGGACTTGATTGCTGTTTTTAAGAGGTTTGGCTGTAATTCAATAAGGTTTCACTCTTTCAATATCCATTTTTTTGGGCTAAATATTATAATTTTATCCAGTTTGGCACAAAATTTTTATGACTTTAAATTATGCATTTAGGAATGCTTTTTTTCCATTTCATCTCACAAGGTAGTGTAATTTTTTAGCAACTTAGTTAATAAGACTATTCCTATTTTGATTGTAATTAAACAAAGATTTGTTTGGCCACAAGATGGCAGCATTGGTATTGTTTCGAAAGATGTTAGTTCCGGTTGAGGGAAGTTATAACTTACTGTACTGAATTTAGAAATGATTGTTTATACATATGAATTTGATGAAAAATAACAAATAAAAAATATAACAAATGAATAATACTTATAAAAATTAGTAGTTGTCAAGTTTTTTTATGTTAGCTGGAAATTTAATTGCAACAAAAAGCAGTCCAATTTGAATTTGAAGGCCATTTCTTCTACATGCTCTGATTTGAGCTCACTCCCACTGCGTGACTGCTGAAATGTTCACCATGAAACCATGACAGCAAAGTGAACAAAACGACCTCCATTCACCCCGATCAAATGTTTTCACCACAACGTTTTTGGAAGCGAAGGCATTCTTCATCTAATCTGTTCTTAATGTGTAACGACTGTAACAGAACATGGCCTGAAGAGACTGCTTCAGAGGCCACCCTGCCAGGAAAAATTTCCGGGAGGAAACGTTTTCTGGAACATGGTTTAAAATGTTTGGGATGGCTGCAGCTGATCTTCCGACAAGTTTCAAATTATTGTGGGAATCAAACTGAGATCTCAGACACATACCAGTAGGATTACCTATCCAAATACAACAATTTGACATTGTAGTTTTAGACTTAAAACTACAAATTTATTCTGAGGACAACACTTGGTCAAAATTCTGAAATTACTCAGTTTTTATTAGTTCAATAAGGCTTAAAAATTCTGACAATGTGAAAGCTTCTAAACTTCAATTTAAGAGTAATAACTGACCTCAAAACAAGCTGGTAATTTTATTGTGCCAATTGAGAAAAGGGTTTGTTTGACAGTGTTCATTGGGCTTACAAATACAAAGCACAACAGGAAAGCTCAAGGAGCTTAGTCAAGAACTAACAAAGGGGTGATTTAGTAAAGTCATATGGTTTCCTCTGGGAGCTATTTTTAAACCGGAAGGAAGTGTTATAGTCAGATGACACAAAGACTAAGCAGACTGAACACAATGACTGATGTGTTCAGATGAGTAAAGGTAAGTAAAGTCGACAGTGAGAATACTGTAGAAACTGCTGAGTTTGTTTATGGTCAGTACTGAGTAGAGGGAATCAGGACTACTGATGGGATATTTAGGATTTCCTTCAGATTACAACCTCTATTTCCTATATTTGTGTCATGTTGCTCTTGATTAATATTAACTGAAACATCATTCATGTTAGACTGCATTCCAGAGATTCTTTACTTTATTAAATTTCTGCAATTTAATGTTTAATGCTTATTTTGTTATATGTTTTCATCATGTAAACTACTTTGAATTGCCTTGTTGCTATTAGTATACAAATAAACTTGCTTCGCCTTGCCTACTACCAACCAGAATATTAAATGAAACATATAGCTGAGTGATGAAGTGGAACAAGGACACCAAATCCATATCTGATCGTCGCTCTTATAGCTGATAGAAAAGCTAATACTAGAAACAGTACAGTATTTTATTCTTAGTTCTGTTTTTAGATTTTTATTTTTGTGTAAATCTAAATGCTTTGGCTTTTCTGTCACTTTGTTGCTGTACAGCTGAATTTTCCCAATGAGGAAATCACTATAAAGATGATTTCTATTCTAACAACCAGTCTGACGATCCAACAGCTATTCCTGAGAGCAAAAATATTGTACATAAAACTACTGGATAGCATGAGAAGAGTTAAGTTCAAAGAGGACTTTTGCTGCCTTAAAATACTTCAACCTCTAAAGTTTTATTGCGATTCAGGCTGCTGTTATTTTATGTATAATGGTGGGTTACTTACAGATTATTTATACAACTGTTTCCATGGGAAAAAGATACAGTGCACCACAAATTATTTTCCTGTGAGTAACTTCATGAGAATGGAACATATAAAGGTTTCCCAATCAGAATAAGGCTGCATAAAAAGTAAAAAAAACAAAAAAAACAAATCACATTATGGTAATTCTATATTACAGAGATACTCTAACAAAGATACTCTTACATTTTCCTTTTCCAGCATTGGTTTAACACAGGAATATTAGAGGTGGATCACATCCAATCTCATCATCTTCTGCATAAATTACTGGCCTAAATAATAAAATAGATCACACTGCCTTAATTTTTTACATTTATATTTAAAATCCCAGTACGGTAAAAATGTAAAATAGAGAATTCTTGAGATCACAGGCAAATGTAAAAATTATAAATCATATCAGAAAAAGTTTAAAGATAAAATATTCAGTTTAGCCTTACATCTCCATATCCTGTTACCCCCACTCCTGCATTTTCAAACAGAAGTGTCACATATATGTTTAGGAAGTTAAAACAAGAAAGCGACCTGTCTGAACTCTAATTTACAGGACCCCACCCGCTTTCCAGCTGGCCACACAAACCCAGACAAATACACAGACATACACACACACACACACACACACAATCTGGCTGGCCATTGGCCTGTTGGGCTGTGCAGGGCAGGAAGGGAATCATTCACTGTAAACTGAACAAGGACTGGCTTCCTCTGGGAGTCCCCAAGCCTGACAGCGGCCAAGATCTCTGCAACACAAATCCTTCCAGCACACACACACACACACACACACACCCCCACACACACACCACACACACACACACACACACACACACACATACACACATACAGGAACTGAGACATCGTCTCTCATCTTTTACTCGTCTCCTTGTCCTCAGTTTCATCTTGACTTCTCTCCCTTCCTGTCTGTCTTCCACTTTCCATTTTAGCCTCAATCTTTACTTTCACTATATTTGGTTTAATATGTACTTTTATTATGTTTCTATTTTCATCTTTAAAAATCATCTACATAAGAACTTGTGATGGCCTTTTTTTCATTTCATTTTGGAGAAACACTCCGTTCTACTGCCTCACCTTCATCCTGCTTTCTTCGACTGATAATGAAAACAGATATGCTTTGTCAGTGTCACTGTGTGCATGCTATTCCCGTCACCTTTCTCCTCCACACAAGCTCTGCCCCGCTCACACACGAACGCACAGGAACAGAAATAGGAGATGCATATCCGTCAGCTGATCCAACTGGAAATGCTGACAATGGTATCCCATCTGCCACCGTTATCTGAGACGGCAGGAGAGTAAAGAGAAGAAGGGAGAAACATAAAAACAAGCGTGAAAAGGACATGAGGAGAGATAAAGAAAGCATTTTAAAAGCCAAGAGAGTCACACAGATGTTTGTGGTTTTCCCTGAAGGAATATATCATTTATGTGCGATGGATAGATTTAGGGAATTATCGATCATGTAGAAATCTCATATAGAACAAATGCTATTTGATAACTATTTGACTCTTCAGAATATACACTAGAGAAACTGACAGTATGACCAAAGGAGGCTTGCTGGGCTTTAGTAAAAATAAAAGTAAGATGTTTTTGAAGATCAACAATAAAGGGCAGATTTACTGTTTTGTCAGGCTTCAAATTATACATGTTAAACTTCAATGCTTCTTTTGACTTAAATTTTTTTTGGAAAAAAATTTGGTTTAAATCTGGTATACCGAATACTAAAGTTTTGTGCCAATCATTGGAAACCAGAAGTTTATATATATATATA